TTCCTCGTCATCGAATATTTCCTATATAAGTTGAGAACTAATTAAATGTTAATGTTATGAATGACCTCTATCAACTGATTTCTTGTAATTAACAAGAGTCAAATTAAGACTTTGCTAGGTCATTCCTTAATCTTTCATGTAAAAATGGTGATCGTATTGTTTAAGTAACTTGAGCTATTAAATGGTTAAAACACTTGTTTAATATTGCTGGAGAATAAAACTAAGTGATTTTATTAGTATTGAAAATGGTGTTATCTAATGGTCTTTTAATAATACCGTAACTTACTTCGAGATTAATTGGCGAGTTGAGCTTTTTGGTAACTAAAACTTATGGTTTATTAACTAATTAAACTGTCCTATAAAACACAAGCACTAATAAATTTAATCTCATTTATGTAATTATTAATTAGAGAACTTTTCAATATATCATCATTAATCTACTAACATAACTTTAGGTAATATCTGGTATCTAATCATTTACTAATGATATACTGTTTACGAGTTAGGTTTACAACATTTTTGTTCTGTATATTTCCTGCACAATCATTATTTCATTCCTTAACAGTTTATCAAATGTACACATAGGTGTAATGATACAATTTCTCAATAGTCTTGAAAACACTGACCACTAAAATTTTCTCAGACAGTATCACATGACCATGTTTATTAGCCAATAACAAGAATTAAAAAATATTTACCTAACAGTAGTCAGAGACTTAAATGGTTAGTTACATATAGAAACTATGATTTCCGGGCTAATGGGGTAAAAGCACTTTACAAAAACAAGTTTAATGAGCTGTTTAGCTCCCAGTATGAAAGATATATAGTTTTTTTTTTCAGGGAATCTCAAGGAACCTCCGTATTATAATGTTTTACAAAAGTGGTTTTGTAGATGCCTAATACAGTACTTGTTAGATGCTATGCATTTGCCTAAAATACTCTCATACAAAAGGAATTCTTTCTAAGTGCTTAGAGTAAGAGACACAGTGAGATATTTATTTAAAAAAAACTAAGTCGTATTATGATGGCTATGGAAAAATGAAAGTTTTTTAACTTGGTCATATAAAATCACTTATTAAGAATTTGAAGAACCTTTAGACATATCAAAAGTTTCTTCACACTCGTACCAAAAAAATGTCAGTTTTAAAATTTTATAAAACTTTAAAACACACATGTAAAACTTAATTATTGTCAAGTACTTCATGGGATGTCAATTTTTTATTGCTTTGTTGTTTTTGCATGATTAAAATAGTACTATCTTATCTCCGTGCACTTGTTTTGCGATCACTTATTCTAAGTACATTTCTTTTATCAATGTTGAAAGGCCTGAACCCAGAAATGTCATCAGCATAGCTATTATAGTGCACTCCCTTGTCTCATTAAGTACGAGTATTACTAGCTGTTATTAAACGTGGATAACACTGTTTCATACCACCATTATCTTCTTCCATTGTAGTTTTACAATTTGTACTTATTCTGATATCTTACGATGTACTAAGAATGAGTGAAACATTTTTTTTTTTTTCAGATATTCTAATGGTTTTCAAGACTGAGTGAGAGAGAGAGAAGATTTAGAGCTATTGCCATGGTGGTCAGTTTTTGCTCAAAAAAATACCCGTACAAGTTGGTCAAGGAAAAATATGTCTTTTATGTTAAAAAAGAAAAATACAAGTTTCAAGTGGACCTTATCCTAGAAGATTTAACAGCAGTTCCTTTTGTGAATGGAATGCTGTTTGCAAAAGTCCGTTTGTTAGATGGAGGCAGTTTCTCTGAAATGTCATCGAGGTCAGTAGTGTTTTTACTTAGAAATTTATATCGAAATACTTATCTACTTGTTACACACATAGGATGTACAATATTGTCTGCTGAACTAATTAAGCTTAAATTGTAGGGGTTTGATTATAGTTTTTCTCCTTTTGAAATTGGAAATGGGACTTCCAAAACTGATGCCCTTGAAGTCCTGGACTTCCTGTTTTTATTAAATTAGTGTAAGGGCTGACATAAAACATATTATCAGAAAATGAGGTTCCAGCAAGTGGTTTTGGGATTACACACATACTGTGAGTGTGTATGAGAACAACTATTCCTACTCTGGACGGAATTGAAGATTTTAAAAAGTTAACTGTGAATACTTCAGTCCCTTTCTGGACAAGCAAGTTTTCAGTTCTATATATTTATATTGATTCATGTGCAACCCCCTGCTCATCATAATTCTACAACATACTTGCTAATGAGTGGACTGGCCATAGTACACTTGCATACTTGTACATGTCCAAGGGAATTTTCTCATGACAGTTTATATGAGAAAGAATAAGATTAATGTAGAATAACAACACTTATAATTATTGGGCTAAAGAGCTTGTAAACATGTGTTTTTGAAATGTGCATGTGTTCAGAAATTATATCGGATGGACCCAAGTGTTTCTAGTTAAAGTAGACTTTTTACAGAAAATGTATCAAGCCATGTTATGATATTAAATTTTATGGTTTTACCTCAATATAAGGACCCCCAGTTAACTTGTTTGTACGTGCAATAAATTCCATTCTTGGAGATTGAAAAGGTTATTGCAGTTGAAGTTCTGTTACAAGTTCCCAATATCTTTTAACCTATTAACTGCGGATGACGGATATTTCCGTCATTGAAGTTCTATGGCTCAGCTGTGAATGACGGAAATATCCGTCAGTCGCACATATATAACTATAATCATATGCGAAAGACGATAATTACTGTTTCATTATGATTGATGGCAACTTTATCTGTGAGTCAGAAAACGGCAACTGAGCTGTTCAGTTAATGGGTTAATTACAAAAATTATCCCATACCTATTTTTCTACAAGTCTGTTAAGATGTAACACGTATATCAATTTCAACAACTATTATTGTTGAATAGAGGGCAATTACAGCATATATATATATAAAGGAAAACTTATGTCCTTTAAATTACCCAGCCATTTTCTAATTAGATTCTGTAAGAGTATGTTTTGGCATTAAATTTTTACATTTAACAAAAAAAATTATAACATGATTGAAGTTAAATGACCTAATAATCAGTCACATATGTCTTACACATGACAGTAATGTCATACAGAAGGATAGAATGTCAGAATCAACATTCATATCTTAAACTTTTGCAATTTTTAAGCTTATATTTGTCTATCTTTATATAGTAAACGTTGCTGTAAGCCTCAAGTTTACTTACTTTACTGGGAATCCATGCTGATCTGAGGGAGTGTGAAGTATCGTGTTCTGTTCCTTCATTACTTTACTGGTTGTTTAGAGCATTCTTATTTATTGTATAGTTTTAACACTTACAAATTGAAATTGTATTTCAGTAGGGAAATCTTTTGTTTACACACATCAAATATTTTATACAACCTCTTCTGTTTTTCATTGTTTTTTTTATAAAAATAAAATTGTTTTTCAGAGCCTGTAATTTACAGAATGTTATAATGCTATGCAATTTTTTTGCATGTAGAGTAAAACATTAGAAAATTTGACCTCTGTGAATGGAAATTGCTTTAGATCGTAAAAAAGACCCTGTTTATTTTATAATTTCAGGGAAAAGGTGAAAGATCACTGTATATAAGGACTTTTGTTTTACATTTCAGGAAATAGGTGAAAGACCACTGTTTAAAAGGACTTTGTTTCTTATTTCAGGGAAGAGGTGAAAGACCACTGTGTAAAAGGACTTTGTTTCTTATTTCAGGGAAGAGGTGAAAGACCACTGTGTAAAAGGACTTTGTTTCTTATTTCAGGGAAGAGGTGAAAGACCACTGTGTAAAATGGGGCACACGGTTTCGATTTTGTTGTAAAATGAGCACAAATGTTGTAACAGGAGTTTTAGACCCATGTTTGTGCAGAATTTCAGTCCGAATGGTAACAAGCATTTTTTTTTCTTTCAATATTCAAGATGGAACTTAGAAAATGTTAGCAGTTTTAAAATATTTTCAGAGAAAGTAAAAGTTAAATCTTTTTAACGTAAAATTCACATCAGAGTTACAAATTTTATTAGTGTTGATTACAGTGTTACATGTAAAGAAGCTGTTTGTAGTTTTTGAAATGTCTATATTAGGATGTTCCATTTTGATCTTTGTAACTTAACTTGTCCTGCAACGCACAGTAATAAGCAAGTCATTTTAACTTGCATTCTTAAATGCTCTATCAGAAATATGCAATTCACCTTTATATATATACATACAGGTAAAGATGTACTTATGAATAAAATATCAAAAGTCCTCTCTCTTAGAAAGAGTATTTGTAGTTCTTAGTTTCTAGTTTTATTCGATGCACGTAGACTGAACTTTCAAGACAAGTCCGTTACATTTATGTATTTCAATAGGAACATGTGTACAATTTACTATGTACGGTATTGCTGTTTTCAGTTTTGTTAAAATGTTTTTGTAATGATGTAAAGTTCTTTTCTTACTGTGGTTTGTAAACATTGACACAGGTTATGCTTTTTTAATCTTCTAACAGCTGACTATTGATGATGACACTATGTAGGAAGGTTGACATGCTATTCTGTAAATCGATTCTAAAAAAATTGTTTTATCACAGATGTACAATTAAATACATGATTAATGTGTTTTAGGTGACATGGTATTCTGTAAATTGATTCTAAAAATTGTTTTATCACAGATGTACAATTAAATACATGACTTAATGTGTTTTTAGGTGACATGGTATTCTGTAAATTGATTCTAAAAATTGTTTTGTCACAGATGTACAATTAAATACATGACTTAATGTGTTTTTAGGTGACATGGTATTCTGTAAATTGATTCTAAAAATTGTTTTATCACAGATGTACAATTAAATACATGATTTTATGTGCTTTTAGGTAATCTATAACTGTATACATTTAAAAAGTTGACATACAAAATGTGTGGTATAGATACTATGGGTTTGCAACCTCAAAGCTTTTTCTAAATCCTCAGAATTTCAGGGATTTTAGTGGCTGAAATCCTGTGACCATGGCTGGGATTTAAAATTTTTTAGTTTTCGTTCTATTTGGTTTTTATCTAAAGTAATTAAATTATCTGAATTCTTTATTTAACTTAAATGATAAATAAGTAATACAAACACAGAAGATTAATAAAACCCATTTATAATTCACACAGCTGAGAAAGAGAAAAAATTAAGCCCTGGGAAATGTAGCATATTATTGAATTAAAGTTAGATTTTACAGGTTTCTTTTTAAGTACATTTTTTTTTACCTAAAAAGATAATTTTTTGTTTAGTATTTTAATATTATGTATGCTACTATAATAGATATAGAAGCTGGATTGCAACAGGGAAATGATTTAATATAAAAATGTTTGCATAATATTCTGGGTTAGAAAAGATTTATTGACATTGGTTTATAATATTTATAATGCATTATTGTTTAGCAGTATTTTCATATGAAAGATATCATGGATGTTTTAAGCATAATTTTTGACAAAATTCAGATCTTAGCCATTGAAAGCAGTGAGGTAGAAAGAAAAAAAATAGTTCAAATATTTCTGCATTTCATAATTAAACTTAGCAATTTAGATATGCTATCTTTTACATTGGGTCTATAAAGGTGTTCCATCAGCTTTAACCAAGGAAGTTTTAATATTTTTTTCAGTTTATATAAATTTCAGTGTTCTTTTTGGAGGTGCTTTTAGTTTCAAAAGTTCATGAACCTCAATGAACAGAAATGTTGTGTTTTTTTAGGAGGCAAAGGGAGGCAGGTCCTTCCTGAAGCTGGGCTTCGTTGACCTCAATATGGCTGAATCGGCTGGGGCAGGTGTACACACTCGCAGGTGTTTGCTTGAAGGTTACGATACTAAGCATCGACAAGACAATTCCATACTTCAGGTGACCTTACAAATGATTTTGTTGTCAGGAGACCCTTGCTTTAAAGTGTAAGTTCACAGTTTTTGTATAGCTAATAGAAACTTATATTTCTGTTTTAACTTAGAATTAAACAAATCAAGTAATTTTAGAGTGAATATAGAATTTTTCTTGTGGGGAAAATACTTCTCAGTTGAGTTTTTCCAAACATTTGTTCAAGAAAGGCAATTATTAAATGAATAATTTAATCTACACTTTTGTTACTAAAGGTATTAATCAGGATTTTCAACCTTACAATTTTATTTTTACCGATATAAGACAAACAATGGCTTTTTTTCTTAAGCTGTTTACAGGTCTGTGGACAGTACTGATATGTGACTTTTTTATGACTGTCCATAGATATATATGTAGTTGGCAACCCTATTTTTAACTCAAACTGTTTTGGATAATTGTTATAAAATATTAAAAACTTATAAAAGGTTTATTACAAATTATAGTATTCTGAGATATCATATAAGAATAGAAGAGACGAAATTGCATAAAAGTTATTTGCATTCATAATACTTGAATAATTACCCCACCATTATATCATGGTGAATGTCAAGTGCAACATTTTTTGAACAACACCTTAATAACTCAAAGTATTTCAAAATGACAAAGTGTTAGAGGACTACAAAACAAAAGATTCATTATTTAAACTTTAGAATCATTCCATCGAGTTGTTTGAGGGGCTGAATTCCCACTTCCTTGTCAGTTTATGCTTGTGTTTCATAGGTGGATGAACTGTGAAATTTTAAGAGCTTAATAAGCTCGTTAACTTTTGCTATGATCAGATTGAAGTGTTTATATCCTTACCTTTTTTTACAGTATTACAGTGATAATTTCATTAAAAATACTTATTATCAATGTATGTCAATAAAATTGAATTGAAAATATAGATTATTATTCCAATATTTATCTTGTCTGAGATTTATCTTCTTAATTCCCGAAAAGAAATATTAAAAAATCAATCTTTATTTTTCAGTATCACATGATGGGTCTGAGCTCCAATTTCTCCACCCACTTTAGAATTTTCTAACTTCCACGATATGCAGCTTCAGTTTTTAACTAATTGGAAACACAAACTATTCATAATGCAAGCATGAATTTAACATTTGAACCTCCTAACTTTGTGATTTGTTAAGATAGCAATAAATTTGTGAAACTCTATAGATAAGCCTTTTCCCCTGTCTTTCTCTAACTTTGGAGATTATTCATAATCAACTTAACGAGGCTGATGAATGTGTTTATAACCAACAGAAAGAGTGAACCCTTCGACTTGTATCTTCTAATATGTCAATGGAATATGTCAATCACGTTACAACTGCTATATCCTTTGTTGGTGAGGTTTTTTTGCCCAATACCAGAGCTATCAGGCTGACTGGGATATGACAAGTGTAGTAGTGGTTAAGCACTATTTATATCATCAGTTGCATGACTAATAATTGTTATGGTGTGAACAAGATTAAGTAAGAGAAGTGCTATTATTGTTATTTAGTGAATGGGGTTAAGTAAGTGAAGCACGATTATTGTTATTTAGTGAACGGGGTTAAGTAAGTGAAGTGCGATTATTGTTATTTAGTGAACAAGAGGTTAAGTAAGTGAAGTGCGATTATTGTTATTTAGTGAACGAGGTTAAGTAAGTGAAGTGCGATTATTGTTATTTAGTGAACGAGGTTAAGTAAGTGAAGTGCGATTATTGTTATTTAGTGAACGGGGTTAAGTAAGTGAAGTGCGATTATTGTTATTTAGTCACTTGCAAGTCTGAATTATGGTAAGGATTAATAATAACATAACATTTTTTTATTTTAACAATAATTTTTTATATATACCATTTTTATTGGTATTATAACATTTAATTGCCTAAAGCCTTCATGTTGTTAATATATGAAAGGTAATCTAACTTTTATTTTCTATCCAGACCATTTGTAAAGCCCTCGATTGTTCCAGGAGAACAGCCAGAAGAACAGCTTCTTCCCGAAAGAAAAACTCAAGATTACTCAGAAAGTAGCTTAACTAGTAGTGGATTTGGAAGTCTCCCTAGGAAGTCAAAAACTGGTGTGAATTTAATTCATTGTTTGCCATGTTAAAACAAATTAATTTAAATATTAATATGTTAAGAGTTTCTCATTTAAAGAAGACTGCATGAAAATATTTTAATAAATTAAAAATTAGTATGTTCATCAGACCATAATAAAACAGAACCAACTATATATTCATTTTGTTAGTCATGGAGGGCTTTTATTGGCTATTATATTCAGTGATAGTGTATTATAATATTCATATTGTTAGTCTTGGAGGGCTTTTATTGGCTATTATATCCAATGATATTGTATTATAACATTCATTTAGTTAGTCTTGGAGGGCTTTTATTGGCTATTATATCCAATGATAGTGTATTATAATATTCATTTCGTTAGTCTTGGAGGGCTTTTATTGGCCATTATATTCTATGATAGTGTATTATGTTTTTGTTACAAACATATTTCTATACCCGCTTATAAATCAATGTGCATTAGATCCGAAAAAGTGAAACATATTGTTTTAATAGCCATTTTAAGTCCTTTGTATAAATTGTCAATCCTGCATAGTAAGCAAGTAAATTAGAAGCAACCACATTTTCCATCTCCCTAGTATACAAGTGTATTAGATGACTAGCCTTTTTTTATTGGGCATCTGTTCTAGACATTATGTTCTCCAGGAATGATATATCTTTGAAGAAAGGTGATAATTGGATCCTGCCTGGCATCTGTGTGTGTGTGTGTGTGTAAACGGGTCTACACAGACTGTTTGCATGTGTGAGTGTGTCACGAGCAACAGTTTCTAAGATGATGTCAGCATGTTCTACATTTTGTTAGACCTCAAGTGCAGGTGGCAATGGTAGTTTACTAAGCCAAATTCTGAAATGAAAAGGGAAGACAACAGAATTGTTGGAAACCAGCAAGTGGTGTTGGAGATGACTGAACAAAGCTATCTGGTTCAGTGACTAGATGCACACCACCCATTAGATGTGGAGTGTTTCAATGACCACAGACTGTTAAACCCTGTGTCAGTGATCAAAGAGAATCGAATCATATAAATCAACATTTATACTTTTGTAATAAAATAGAGAAGTGTATACAGCTCAGCACAGCGTACATCCTCAGTGCCCGAAACACACTGGTATTAAATTCATTCAGTTGTGTTACTGGAAGACAGGTTTACAGTGACATCCTACAATACCAAGTTTACCCTTTTTCTTTTTTGGACAGTTGTTTCCTTGTTTTGTCCAATCCCCGTTTGTCTTGCATAATAACTGTTGCTGTAATCACTGAGATTTGTGTTTAAATATTTAAAATAAATTTTTTTTAAGAGAAAGAGTTCTATGTGTCCATATCAAACATGAGCTACAATTATCATGAATGAGACTTAAGAACTTTTTTTAGGATTAAAATACTTTTGGAGGAAGTTATATTGATGCAGAAAGTAAATAAACTCACATTTCAATCACTATGAACAGACACCACTACCACACGAGATGAAACTGAATGGAAGAAAGAAGACCCTTCTGTTCATCAGGTGGAGTGCGAGTTGGGCCATTCTCGGAATTCCAGTTATGCAAGTCAACAGTCCCATGCCTCGGGTTATAGCAGTCTTCAATCCCATTCTAGACAAGGAAGCTCGGAGTCAGGACACCTCCGGTCAGTTGACATTCTTGGTTCTAATAGTTTCACACTTAAATAGTTATTGACACTCGCGTTTTAACCTTTGATTTTCCTTTGAGGTTCCAACTGCTTTTTTAAACATATGTTTTAAACTATTTTTGTACCAAATTGCTTGTGAAGCCGTGACTTTACTGGTTAAAAGGTTTCCTGATAAATATAAGTCAAACACAAATACCATTAATATTCCTACTAATTATTGCTAAGGACTTACATGTGTTTTACTTGGAAAGTGAGTGCTTTACGGTGAAAATTGTAATGGGCTAAAATATAAAATTTCTGGGTACAATGCAATATGTGGATTTCACTTATAAAAAATGGTATAAAAACAAGACAGTAATTTGAAAGTTAATATTTTGCCCAAATTTTATATGTCAATGTGACACAGCATTTTATGTCTAATAGTTTTTAACATTTTGGTAATTCTTAAGTGCATGTGCTATTTATTTTAGTTGGGGTTTTTAATGAATTGAAAAATGTCACCAACTTGAAAATCCCAAGTTTCATTGAAGTATTATTCCAGTAGTAGTTCAGTAGTAGAACTCCAGTATAGTTAATGAATGATGCTAGTTCAGTAGTAGAACTCCAGTATAGTTAATGAATGATGCTAGTTCAGTAGTAGAACTCCAGTATAGTTAATGAATGATGCTAGTTCAGTAATAGAACTCCAGTATAGTTAATGAATGATGCTAGTTCAGTAATAGAACTCCAGTATAGTTAATGAATGATGCTAGTTCAGTAATAGAACTGACATTCTTCATGGTGATATATTTAAGTGAAAATTTTGTAACTTTTAGAATTAAAATTTTTTAGGAACCTTAGTTCAGGTTTCAGTGACATGGGTTTACTTGGAATGCCTAAACTTGCAGAAAGAAAAAGACTCACGGGAAAGGTATGTTTAGTTGGTAATTCATATATCCTACAGAATAGTCTTCTTGTTTATAATAAAGTGTTTAGTAATATTTTACTGTAATTAATACACACTCCAGAATAATCTATTTACAACAAAGTGAAATTGGTAATATTATATTGTTCCCGATCAAAGATATTATTGATTAATCTTTTGTTTTCTTCCATATGATGAAATATTTTTTAGTTTTTCTCAAATAATTTTTTTTTTTATTAAACTTTATGAATTAAGAATTGTTGTGGCTTTCAAAATAAAATTTTGTTAAAAACTGTAAAGTTTCTTTTCCAAATGGTTTTTTTTTGTGAATCTTTCAATATTTCTTCAGAAACAGTTTACAGAAGAAAACAGAATTGATTCCACTAGGGTTAACGCTGATCAACTAATCAAGGAACTTTTCGAAGCCAGTAATTTTGATGAAGCTGAGGAATCTGTGGAAAGTAAGTTCACAACTAATAGAAATTGTTTCATTTAGATTATGGTCTACAAAGCCAAGATATAAAAAGAAAAATGTGTACTAAAGAACAAACTTTTTTTTGTAGATCGTGGATTACAACTGTTTATTAACAAGGATGGGAAGACGAGCTTGGGAAGCCAGAGCAGCAAGTCTCAGTCCAGCAGAGCCATGCTGGAAAAAGTGATAATTGAACACAGGTAGCATGGTGTAGCAACTGTTCTATTAGTACTGTAAGTGATGTGGCAAGCTGGCTGCTACATCATATATTGTAATAGTAATATGCTAAAGTAATACAAAACGTTGTATGTGTGGACAGTCAGGACAGTCATCTTCTAGAAGAACTTATTTTTAATAGTCTGATACGACAATCATTTATTGAAAGAAAGTTCTATTGTTGTAAGGACAGTAGACTAAAAGAGCCAATCTTTTCCATATTAGACACTGTCACATTTAGTTAGTAGAGTACTGATCTTTACTGGTTTTGTTGCTGCAAAGATGATCAGAAAAAAAAAGCATTGTTCTTTTGTGCATCATATATTGTGATGACCATTTTACAAACTGCTGTTTTGTTTTCTATGATGGATGCTCTATTGATCATACACTAAAAGCCAAGGTGTGGTACTCATCTACGAGGAGGACCAATCTCTTCTAACTGGAATCCTCCAATAGTTAACTGTCAGCATGTTAAACTGTTTTGTTGTTGTTGTTATTTCTTTGCATGGTGATTAGCTGCTTAATGACTATATCCTTTCTCTGAGAAAACTTTGGAATTTCATATGTAAAAATATTCATATTTTAGACATTGAGTACTCTGATGATCATCTACTAAATACACAGTGATAATTTACTATAAGCTGGTTTTCTTTCATTAGTTTCTGCAAGGTTATTGACTGATTATGATGGGTGTCTGTTAAAAGATTTAACCTGTTCTTAACTGGATGCTGTAGTAATCAGTTATCAGATGGACGTTCTAGTTTTTTGTGCATTGAATGATGTGATAACTATTTACTAAAACAGTAGGTCGTTTCTGTATTTGGTGCTGTGATTGTGTAGGTCTTTCTGTAATTTGTTATGAAAAGCTTATCTGTTCTGATAAACTGAGACTTCTCATTAAAGCTGGCTTTTTTTTTACTTCTATTCATCAGCCTAGTCACAGTGAGCTGGCGATAAGATAAGAAATGGTTATTGGGTATATTGTTAAGTCTTCGTAGTCAAGTATCATGTGCAGAGCTATAATGTGGACAAGGCATGGGTTGTGGTTACACTGAGGCTGGTTAATGTGTACAGCTCAGAAGAGGTGATTTAGTGTGTGTGTGCATGGGTAAGGTCAAAGTTTGTACCCTGTACTTGTAAATAATGCCATTCAACATGGTATTATGTACATGATCTTAGAGTTATCAACATTTCGTGTTGGTCTACACCGCTGATTTCACATATAAATTACAATATACAGGAATACTGAAAAAAACTTTACATGTGCAATTAGGAGGTTGTATAGGTTATGCAATTTGCAAATCTGTATGTTGGACAAAACTATTTTTATCCTTCACATTAACATCATTTTACACTTTGACTTATCAGAGTCCAGTTGAATTCAGCATTTCACAGAGAAGTTACTAAACACTTGCCACATTTCATGAAGAAACGCTTCATAAATTCATGATTATAGTTAGCATTACTTCTTCAGTATTGGACTGCATGCAAATTGAGTTAACCCATTGACTACCGATTCGCTGTATACACCTTGCAGTCAGTGGGTTAAAAAGTATTGTAAGGATTCACTAAAATCTAAGGCAGTCAACAAATTGAAAGGCTTCAATAACGTAAGTAAATAACTAGGGGACATTTTACTGTTATATGCAATTGTATAACTTGTTGCTATATTGGAAGTTTATAGATTTATCAGATGGTTTTACTTACATTTTAAAATGTTGAAATGAACTGTGCCATTATGTGAGAAACGAGTTTTCTTCAGTAGGTTTCATTGTCATCTATTCTGTGTCAGGACTTAGTTTATTTGTTTTTTTTCTTGTGTGCACATGTGGCTATAGATCTGTTTGTTATTTGATTATTTTGCATCCTTTCCAAATCTTTAACATTCTATAATTACTTCTGACTTAAGTAATTACAACCTGAAAATATATATATATTTTTTTGGTAAGATATATTTAAGTATACTTGTGTATTTTCAGGTTAGTTGTGTGCTATGTAACAAACTGCCCAAAGCTTGGGTGAACCAGTTCTTTTCAGAAAAAACAAAAATGCTTTTATACAATCAACCAGATTGTTTGAGAAAATTGAACAGTTACCTTGAATATCTAAGAATGACAGTTTATTTTTAGGTACATTTTATACATTGGTGCTGAGAATTAATGTATTTCTGGAAATTAATTATATGTTCTTTAAAAGTATGGTTTCAGATTATCCCTTGTTTGTTTTTGAGTTCCCATATTGTAACTTTTCTTTGCATTTTATAGATAGATTAGCCAGTCTGAGTGGTTAGGGTGCTCTACTCGTTGTGGGTTCGAATCCCCGTCACTGAGCATGTTCACCCTTTCAGCCATTATAATGTGATGGTCAGTCCCACTATTTGTTGTTGGTGATAACTAGCTGCATTCCCTCTAGTCTTTCACTGCTAAATTAGAGACAGCTAGTGCAGATAGCCCTCTTTTAGTCTTGCACAAAACAAACCAAACTAACCAGTCTGAATTTACAGGTGTAAATTATTTTCCAGAGTTATCAAATCCTCGGCACCAATGTATAAAATTATTGGGTACAAAAATAAACTGTCTTTTCTAAAACAAAACCAGTATATGAAAGTACATAATTTATTTTGAAAATAAATGCGCTAACTTTGAAAAGCATTGTTCATGTAGACAGTTGTTAAATGTTAGATTATTTCTTAAAAAGATAATTTGTCCTTAAAAATAAAAATTAATATATTCAGAAATTTATTCGGAAAGCAACAGCTTGAAAGGTTTTACGTCAACTGTTAAAAAAAAAATATATATATATATGTAAGGTTAAATTTTTAAAAGGTTAATAAACTGCCAAGTAAAAAGGATATCCCATTTTATTGAGTATAAAAGTAAAGGTATAAAAAACAAATGTGTACACACACTGCACTAAAGAAAGAAAGCAGGTCCATGATGCATTAGACCAGAGGTTCCCAAACTGTGGTCCAGGGGGCTGCGATAGTACTTAAGGGGGGTCCGCAGTATTACATTAAATTACCATTTACTGAAAGAGTAAAGAATAGAATAAAGTAAAATGTGAGGTTTCTCTCAACTTGCTCATATACAATCGAAGTATAGAAATAAGATAAATGTGGACTCGTATCTTTGTTTGAAACTGTCAGACATTACCCAGAAATTTGCAGGATCGTTTCATCAGAGTAGTATCGTCCTTCGCAATAGTAAGATTAAAAAAAAAATTCCATATTTAAATCTCTTTTTCATTGTTCTTTTCTTAAAATTAGAATCAAGCTGTAATGGAAATAAAATACACATGATAAAAACTATTTTTAACGGGAGGTGGTCCACCAATACAGTTGGCAACTTCTGCATTAGACATTTTATCCTTTTGAATTACCATGCTTTATGCAACTAGTAACTAAACTCGGCTGACATTATATGATGTATTTTCTTTGTTGCTTTGCAGAGATTGTATGATGTTTTTATTACCATGCTTTATGCAACTAGTAACTAAACTCGGCTGACATTATATGATGTATTTTCTTTGTTGCTTTGCAGAGATTGTATGATGTTTTTTGTTGCTTACAAGCTTGGAATATTGAAGAAACTTAGCAATAAGGTTCAACGTGAGATTCTAAGCATCTTTGAAATGACTTATTGTGTAATTTGCTCTCTGTTCTAGCATTGTGAAGAATGTTTGGTCAATCTATGAACGTTTAAAGAAGTTGATTTAGTAACCCTGGCACTAGCAGCCGTAGTTATTATACAAATACCCAATATTAACATCACTAGTCTTAGAAAATACATTTTTAATTAAGTTATTTGTTTGAAATTGAGTGAGAAGGTTATGTACAGATGTAATGATACCCCCCGCCCAAAAAAAAAACAACAACAACATCCACTTAGTTTTGTTATTCAGGAAAGAACTTGGCATCTTTTATAGTGATTGTTTTATTTATCTGTAGTTTTTGATTTGGGGATATGATATAGGTTTTATATAGTGCAGCTAAAGGCTAGGACTAACTTTAAATGAGACACAGTGTGAATAATATAATCTCTAATCATTTAGTGTTTTTATAATGGTACTGACAGGGATGTATGCAAATTTTAGCATTAGGTATTGTAGATCACAAGAATTTGACCTTATAGTGTATACTTGTATGTTTGCTGTATTATACAAAAAAAGAAGAAATATACATGTATTTGTGAATTAAATGGCAACAGGTCCAATGTAATTAATTCTCTGTGAAGTTCGTGTAAAGTATGATTATCCAAAGTGATTTAAGCCTGTGAATTAAATGCTAGCAGGCCCCGATATGTAATTAATTCTCCGTTAACTGTCAAGTTTGTGTAAAGTATGTTTTTTGTGTGTGAGAGGAGTAATTTAATCAAACCTACTAAATATTTTCTACAAAGTACATTTTGTATGGTTGTCTTTGCATTTCTTCTTTTATACCTTGATTTTTTTTTCACTTTTTCAAGCACAGATGTTATGTATCTCTGACAATGAAAAATTAGTAATTTTTTTGTACTATGAACTGGTCAAAAAGAAAAGTCTTTCTAGTAATCATTTTGATTTTTTTTTGGCTAAGGATAAGTTGTTAAAGAATATGTATTTTTTATACATGTGATCAGAAGTTGAAAACAGGTTACAGCTTTCTTAATTATCACAAGTATATATGTTACAGTACAAGTTTGTTGAAACCAGCACTTACGTAAATATATCCAAATAACTAAGACACTTTAACCACAATATTACAAAAGATGGTATTTACCCAACCTCTAGCCTTCCTTTTAAGAAAAAATAAAGTTTCAGTTGTGAAGTAATTGTCTTACTTGATATCCAGCCAACGTTTTAATCAGAATTTAATATTTCTTGATACAACTGTTCCTTTCTTTGTATAATGTATATATCTTTACCCTTTTAGGTTTGTAAACAGCTGTTGAGTTAAAGCTGTTGTTTACAAATAAAGATTTCATTAAATTCTCTTCCTTGTTTTAATGAATTTCGGAGCTGTTTTTACGTGCATACACATCGTCGATATGTTGTTTTGGAAATTAAGGTTTTTGCTTGCTCTGAAATGATAGGTGGTGAGTCTGTTTCACTTCAGTTAAACTGACCAATGAGAAGTTTACTAGAATGGTTTGACATTTGTGTAAACTTGAATTTTTTCATGTAAAAAAAAAATTGAGATACTAATTTTAATTTGAGAAATAATTCGTTTGAATTAATGTGGTACAAAAAAAAAAGAGGATACAAAATAAAATAATATTTTTGAATAAACTTAACATGTGTAATG